TTTGGTTTCGTTTCAGATCAAATGGAATTTACCATGTTGAAACTAACGCAAAATCACCGTTTGCTAAAGAAAGCAAAAAAATAAATAAGAATAATCTAGACTGATTTTTATTATTTATAGAAGATAAAATTTGTATTTCACTTTTTTAATGTTGTAGTGATGTAAGAAGATTATAAAAGTTAAGTTATTTTACTAATTGCTGTTTTTTTTACTCCAAACTTTGTTTTTAAAGCATACTTGTGTACAACATATACCAATTAAGTTCATAATTTACATAACAAAACTAATTACAGGAATATAATTATATGAAAAAGTTGAAATTTTTTATAAACATCATAAAATACTACAACATAATTATCTGTACCTATTTAAAGCAGTTGATGCTTGATGCACATTTGTTTTACATAAACTTTAAAATACTAACATAATGAATATATTTGCAATTTCTTTCCTCAGTAAGTTTCTTATTAATTAAAAGAATCTTTATTTTAAACCAATTTGTTTTTAGTTTTTTATTTTCAATTAACTAATTCTAACGGAAATGTAATAAAAGATCAAGTAAAATGTTTAGGCGCTGTGTTAAAAGGTGGATGTCCGAATAAAAAGGTAACTTTTTGGCTATACAATAAAAACGCACAGGATTATTTATTAGACGAATTTAATAAAACAACTATTTCTAATGCTCCTTGGGTTCCAAATACTAAAACCGTTTTAATTTTACATGGTTATACTAGAAATAAATCAGTAGAACCCAATATATGGCTTAGACCTGGTTTGTATTAGCTTGAGTAATTGTTTTTACATAAACATTTAATTTTTTAGAATATATGACAAAAGGCTATAATATAATTTCCGCTGATTATCCGAAAGCTGTACCAGATCCTTGTTACGTGCAATCAGCGGTAAATGTTCGTAAAATTGGAAAATGTACCGCTGTTTTTATAGAAACACTTTTAAGCAAAACCAACGGTAAAGTCGAATTAAATAAATTACTTGTCGTCGGGTTTAGCCTAGGCGCACATGTTGCTGGAAGGGCGGGAAGTGAATTAAAAAAAAAGAAGATTACTTTAAATAGAATAGTGGGTAAATAAAAACAGATGTTTCAATTTTATCTTTAAATTTTGGGGGTATTATCTTTTAAAGGTCTTGATCCAGCCTTTCCTTTATTTAACGGCCCTTTAAATTTAATAACCAAGAATTCAGCAAACTTCGTTATGATAATCCATACAAACATGTTTGCTTTTGGAAATCCAGAATTTTCTGGTCACGTTGATTTTGTTGTTAATTATGGTATCGTACAACAATATTGCCTTGAGAAACAATATATGAGGAGTCCAGTACGTAAGTAAGACAATAAAATGAATTTAATCGCAACTTTTAAATGATGATTTCAGAATTTATAGAGTGTAATCATGATATGGCACCACAGTATTATGCGGAATCAATTAATTCCGAAAAGTTCTTTTGTGGGGAATCTTTAGATAAAAAGAAATATGCTATAATGGGGGAAAATACTCCAGATGGGTACAAAATATTGCATAAATTTGTTTAAATTATATTTATTTTTAATAATCTTTTAGGACGACTGGAGTTTATCATGTAATAACTAATAATACTGCACCATTTGCTATACATTCTACATGTAATTTAAAAAAATAAACTATATAATTTTGATATATTTATACAAATAAATATATTTTGTTTTGATTTTGAACATATTTCATGACACATGATACACATATGATACACAGCGCATCAGAGAAAACGGGACATCCGTAAGATTGTGCATATTGAGGCATTTGTTAAGCAGTAACCTTGTTAAGTAGTCCTATAGTTGGACTGCAGGTTGTTAATCCATTTTTCCTTTTGAAAGTTCCTGTTCTTTGGACTTGCCGAAGGCTGGTTTGGAACATTATGATGGTTTGCGTTCGATCTCTCAACAACAAAGCTATCTTCTCTGGCTATTGTTTTTCTTTGAACACCCATACCAGGCCGTTGGTGATAAGAACTGGTTGCAAAAAAACTCTTGGTGTGTTCTTTATGTATTCAAATGACTAACATTTAATTGTCTTGCCACATACCATTTTCAGGCGATGTCACTATCTGCACAGCTCTTCAATATTTATCATCCAATATTACTGATTAGGTACACTAAAAGGAGTGTGTAGTACTAAGAGATATAATTTTATGTCACCTTGGTTGCAAATTTTTAGACAATTTATTTAATTAGTTAACATTTGAAAAACAGCACCAAACCTTCAATGACTTTCAATGAAGTATCTGGTTGAATACCCAATAATTAAACTTTTTATTTCCTTTCATTAATTCAAGTTATTTTGTATCAAATAGGTTAAAGTTTCTGTTGAGGTAATGTCTCCTAACATATAAAACATTCATATTTTTCATCATTTTCATGGAAAAGATCCCGAAATAATCTGTCATTACAGGGCCCCATAAATGATCAATAATATTATACAGTACGAATTGCGCAATGTTATTGACCGTCTAGGCTTAATATTGAAAATTAACAATAATATTGCGCAACATCTGCATAATGAAATCATAGTTTGTATTTACAACCGGCATCAAAACAATGCTACATGTTCAATTGCAGTTAAAGTAATGGATCCTGATTGAGGAGGCTTCCTTATTCCCACGTGCGAAATTTCTTTCAAATTGTTCCCAATATTCGATTGCTTTAGTAACTGAAGAAATGCTAATTAAGTACATTTTCTTTTTCAGGAATCTAGATTGTCAACCACCATCTGCGTACCTCACCTCGTCGAGTAAAGGCAAGAAGATAAAGAAAAAAGTTTTAGATAAGCTATCAGAATTGGCAGCTAAACGTCTAATACGGTTTGGCAAAAATAAATGAATTAACATATATAACAACTCTCAAACATATCAGTTCTACGCCAACTCCTATACGTTATAGCTCTACGCCATACCTGCTGTATAATTTTTTAATAAATAGCATCGAAAATACAACAACTACCACATAATCAGTATTGACGTATGTACACCATTGCCAAGGGCAAAATATTGAACGATTTAAAAGGTTAGTAAATAAAGCCTTAAAACTTGAATTATCATATCGTATGTTTCTATAATTATTACGGAGAGAACGGTGTAACTAAGTCTAGCAACTCTTTGCCACATCCAATCTTATAAAATTCTTAGTCACTTACCTCAGTTGACGCCAAGTCTCTTAAAAGATGTTCGTGAGGAACTCAAAAAAGTACGAGTTATTAAAATCGATAATGAAATTGATGGAGATAATACGGATGAATAAAAATTATTTATAATAAATCAAAAAACATCGATAACTAGGCCAAATCTAGCTATTGCCATTTTTTGGAAATATCGCCAAAATCTTGAAATAGAACTTTTTTTTCATTTCAATCAAGCACTGGCAGAGTGTAACTATAATTGTTGTGATAAATCTCGTTACGTAAAAGTTTTCTTTATAAGTTGATTAAATCGATCATTTAAAATGTGGAGAGCAAAATTAATTAAAAACAAAATATCGGTAGTTTTGTATTATTTATACGTGTTAAAACTTTTTATAATAATTTATAGTCTAAGGAGACTAGAAATCAAAGGGACACACTAGATCTTTTGGGTTGGGTGGCCTCTATAACTAGGTCCAGAAAATCCTGTGACAAATATGCTCAATGTAAACAAAAGTACTTTGATCTCTTAGAGAGCGAAAAGAAAAAATGTTACACGAGAAACATTATAACTCATAAATTTATACATAAATCTCTGTACCGCTTTGTATGGTTTTAAACAAATGTATTGAAGAGGGAGTTTTTCCCGAAAGGATAAAACATGCCAGGATCGTACCAATCTACAAAAAAGGAAATGACAACAATTGCTCAAATCACAGACCGATTGCCCTCCTTCTAGTGTTTTCAAAAATCTTCGAAGAACTAATAAAACGCCGACTAATCAGCTACTTGCTAAAAAATGAAATATTTGACGATAGCCAACATGGTTACAGGACCGGAAGATCGACGATCACAACTGTTATCCGAATGATACGCGATGTTACGGAAGCTCATGCCAATCGAGAAAGCGTGAAAGTGACCTGTTGCGACCTCACCAGAGCTTTTGTCACGGTGGACCATAATCTATTGCTGGATAAGCTCGCTTTTTACGGCGTAAGGGTATCAACACTAAGTCTAATGAAATCGTAGTATTTGAGTAACAGTGTCTGAGGCCTTTTACTCGGTAGAAAAATTTTTAAGTAATGCACGGTGGGCATTAGATGACCGAACTGTATTAGTTAATTACTGTATTAGATACTCATTGTTGAAGCATACATATGTATTTTGTATGACGTCTGTGCAAAAACTTTTTTTTTACAAATAAACATTGACATTGACATAAAAAATATAAAATAGCGGAAAATTTTGCGTTTAAAAATAAATTCCTTGATAATATGTATAAGTTTTAACCATATCTCTAAAAAGAATTTAGAAAAATTGATGTTTTCCTGTGCATAACAATCTATAATTATAAAAAAAAATTTAGCTATACTACTTAAATAGTCAAAATTTTGAACATATTCTAGATAAGGAAGTACGCATAGATGTAATTGTCTGTAACTATTTAAAGCACTTGATGCTTGATGCACATTAGTGTTACATAAACTTCAAAATACTAAAATGATGAAAATATTCGCAATTTCTTTCCTCAGTAAGTTTCTTACTAATTAAAAGAATATTTATTTTAAATCAATTTATTTAGTTTTTTATTTTCAATTAATTAATTCGAACGCAAATGGAGCAACATATCAAGAAAATTGTTTAAGTATTGTGTTAAAAGGTGGATGTCCGCATAAAGACGTAACTTTTTGGCTATACAATAAAAACGCACAGAATTATTTATTAGACAAATTTAATATAACAAGTATTTCTAACGCTCCTTGGGTTCCAAATACTAAAACCATTTTAATTTTACATGGTTATAATGAAAATAAATCAATAGAACCCAATATGTGGCTTAGGTCTGGTTTGTATCAGCTTGAGTAAAAGTTCTTACATAAACAATTCATTTTTTAGAATATATGATAAAAGGCTATAATATAATCTCCGCTGATTATTCGGAAGCTGTACCAGCTCCTTGTTACGTGCAATCAGCGGGAAATGTTCGTAAAATTGGAAAATGTACCGCTGTTTTTATAGAAACACTTTTAAGCAAAACCAACGGTAAAGTCGAATTAAATAAATTACTTGTAGTCGGGTCTAACCTAGGCACACATGTTGCTGGAAAGGCGGGAAGTGAATTNAACATGACCGTTTAGCCACTCAATTCACGAAACAGTCGAAGTTTTGTAATAAGTCATTAAATAAAAATAATAAATTACTGAACTTACTTATGGTTAGGTATGTGAACAAAAATGGAATGTACAGGTGTCCAAATTTCGATGGGTTTGCAGGGTATCTCAGTTATTATGAAAGATAGAAAGTTGCGGCTTTCGCGAACCTGAGCTACTTTTTTGTCAAACTTACAATGGCGCAAACCAAATTTTCATAGCCCTCTTTGTTTTTGATATACAGGGAGTGTTTGAAATTTATGATTTTCAAACACCTCCTGTATCTCGGCTATCCGGAAACTTAATAAAAAGTAAAAACGGGTTCTAATAGATTTTTTCATGTGGAATCCAATGGTGCACGTAGAATTTTTCTAGTCATTACGGTTTTTGAGTTATAAACACAACTCAAATACTGAATACTCAACTTCTAAAATACTTAACTCTTTATAACCCAAAAACCGTGACGACTAGAAAAATTCTACGTGCACCATTGGATTCTACGTGAAAAAATGTATTAGAATCCGTTTTTACGTTTACGGATAGCCGAGATACAGGAGGTGTCTGAAAATCGTAAATTTTGAAACACTCCCTGTATATCAAAAACGACGAGGGCTATGAAAATTTGGTTTGCGCCATTGTAAGTTTCACAAAAAAGTAGCTCAGGTTCGCGAAAGCCGCAACTTTCTATCTTTCATAATAACTGAGATACCCTGCAAACCCATCGAAATTTGGACACCTTGTACATGTGGCAAACACCTCGTCGATTACAATAACATAAAACTACAATGCAATTGCCCTTTATACTTTCATTCCGATTATTCTAAGTACACCGAAGATTAACCAAAAAGTAAATAACTTGGCAGATCGAGATAGAAATAAAGTTTTCTGAATTCCGACTTTTGAGGCGATTATTCAGTAATCCTTTCGATCTCGAATCTCTCCGTACATTTCCATTCTTGTTTAGAAGTGCCCTTGCAATATGCCTATCTATGCTCAATGATGTCAATGGATAACGTCGACTAAGTAGAACCTTTAATCCTAAGACAGAACAATTGGAAACGTTGGAAATTCAAATACTTTCATGTAATGTGGAAAATCTTGTCATCGTCGATGATAATTTATTACTTCTTGGCGGCATCTATATTTCAATAATGTAATATACAGCAGTTCAAACAGTTCTCATACTATTTTTTAAACGTTAATTGACGTTGATATTATAATTTTTAATTTATTCTGATGATTTCAATGAATTCCTCATCTAATTTTAGGAAAATTTTCAAGGGACCTTGGTATCAGTATAGGTAACACTCAGGTATCAGTATTGGAGCTCGTTTATCAAAAGTTCTCTTAACTAAAATATTCTAATAACGAAAATTTTCGATAATGATTAAAAACACGAATCGAAGCCAATGGACGCAATTTTATACATTTATTGTAAATCTTTTTGATTAAATTTATTGTTATTCTTTTAATAAAGTTTTTTATTTTTTTGAATGTTTTGTTTTATTGAATTGTGTGGTAATGCTATCCAGTTGAAATGTCTAACAAAAGTATGGAACCTTTTCGAACAACGAATTTGTAATCAAACTATATAAATAGGCAACTTAATTGAAAATTTCGCAATATTGGTTGCCGATTCAATTACAATAAAATTTAAGTCAAAATTAAAAAAAATGTTACGCACCTTTTGTTATCTATCATAGGATAATAGATAAAATATTCGATTTCCTAAATAAACTGCAGTATCGCAAATACAATTCAAGTTTTCGTCGTAATTGATTGCAAAATTAAAACGTGCCAATTAAATTCAGATTTAAAACATTTCTTTGTGCTTTGTTTTGATGCCCGTGTAACATTTGAATATCTTAAATTTAGTGAGTGCACATGATGAAATTATATTTAATAAAAGGATGTTGTGAAATTATTCCGTCATTATTGTTTGTGCACTATTTTTTTAATTTCGTTTATCTGGATTTAACACGTTTCATACATATTTCTCGGTATAAATGAGGGTTGTTTTCAAAAATTTGTTAGTTTCTAATTAACATTATACGACATCATTATGATTTATAAATTTCTTGTTATATTTTTAGTGTTAGTTGTAAAACCAAGCGAAATTAACAGTTTTTACAAAATAATTTCGGACTTTTTTCATTGTTATCAAATTATAATACAAGAAAGATGTCCGAATGAAAATGTAACGTTTTGGTTGTACAATAAACAAGTTTATGGTTATCAATTGAAAGAAAACGAATTAATAACTTTGCAAGAAGCTCCATTTATTCCGGATCAAAGAATAATTTTTTTAATCCATGGATTTACTGGAAATCGAGAATGCAGTCCAAATCTTCAAATAAAACCAAGCAAGTTTAATTTATAAAATATTATTAATATTTATTTATTAATTTTTATATATTTTTTTAGAATTGATCAAGAAAGGTTATAATGTAATCTCGGTGGATTATGAAAATGTGGCTAAATTTCCTTGCTATCTTCAAGCAGTGGAAAATTCTAAAACCATTGCAAGATGTTTAGCTGATTTTATCGAAACATTATCAACAATAAAAATTAAAGATAAAAGTTTCTCTCTTGAAGATATTCATTTAATCGGTTTTAGTTTGGGTGGGCAAATCGCTGGAAAAACTGGAGCTTATTTAAAAGCATCCAGAAAAATGCTTTCAAGAATTACAGGATTAGACGTTGCGGGTCCTTTATTTTACGGCCCAACAACCTATTTAAATAAAAATTGTGCTAAATTCGTCGATTGTATCCACACTTGTTCAGGTAGATTGGGAAAATTATTTCCAATCGGACACGTTGATTTCTACGTTAATAGTTTAATTCATCAAAATGGTTGTGATTTTTGTAAGATACTTTTTAATTATGTTATTGAAGTTTCAATTAATGTTTAACATTTTTTTTTTTAAATTAGGGAATTTTTCTTGTGATCATGGTCGAGCTCCCGAATTATACGCAGAATCAATTGATAGCGAAGTTGGATTTTATGGTGTGAATTTTTCTGGGGATTTTGAATTAATGGGACATAATGCATCAACTAGGTAATGAAAATTTTATTTTTAAATGTTTAAATTAAACCATTTTTGATTTCGTTTCAGATCAAATGGAATTTACCATGTTGAAACTAACGCAAAATCACCGTTTGCTAAAGAAAGCAAAAAAATAAATAAGAATAATCTAGACTGAGTTTTATTATTTATAGAAAATAAGATTTGTATTTCACTTTTTTAATGTTGTAGTGATGTAAGAAGATAAAAATAATAATATAATAAATATAAAAATTAGATTATTTTACTAATTGTTGGTTTTTTACTCCAACCTTTGTTTTTTAAAGCATGTTTGTGCACAACATATACCAATTAAGTTCATAATTTACATAACAAAACTAATTACAGGAATATAATTATATGAAAAAGTTGAAATTTTTTATAAACATCATAAAATACTACAACATAATTATCTGTACCTATTTAAAGCAGTTGATGCTTGATGCACATTTGTTTTACATAAACTTTAAAATACTAACATAATGAATATATTTGCAATTTCTTTCCTCAGTAAGTTTCTTATTAATTAAAAGAATCTTTATTTTAAACCAATTTGTTTTTAGTTTTTTATTTTCAATTAACTAATTCTAACGGAAATGTAATAAAAGATCAAGTAAAATGTTTAGGCGCTGTGTTAAAAGGTGGATGTCCGAATAAAAAGGTAACTTTTTGGCTATACAATAAAAACGCACAGGATTATTTATTAGACGAATTTAATAAAACAACTATTTCTAATGCTCCTTGGGTTCCAAATACTAAAACCGTTTTAATTTTACATGGTTATAATGAAAATAAATCAATAAAACCCAATGTGTGG